GATATGAGTACACCAAAAATAGGTTTCAAAAGCACAAGGAACGACTTGATTGATAAAAGTGAATTGATTAGAACTTACAAGGTGTGCGGTCACAAGAAACCCAGTAGAAAACCGCTGGCCAAAGTCCATCTATAAAAATAAATAAAATTTTTAAAAAAATATAGAATTATACACTACATAAAGTTACATGTGAAAAAAAAAATAGAATTTAAAAAAAAAATATTACCTTTAACTTGTTTAATTGCCCTGTCATAGTCATCCTTGTTCGAAATAGTCACCATGTTTGCGGGCCTTGAAAATACAAGACCTGTAAAAACAGGTGAGTCAGTGGCATTGGCAATGTCAACAACAAAATCATACGCAGAAGCTGAAGGTGGAAGAGAAAGAGGGGGATACCTTTATCGGAGCGTTCCTTAAAATGAAGGTTTGGGGAGGACAAAGGTAATTTGCAAGGGGGAGGTAAAGATCGTGTTGTACTCGGGATTGAAGTTAGGGTTAGGGTTTGGATGGAACTAGGAAGAAGCTTACGACGATGATGAAGAAGACCTGCACAAGGTTTTCTCCAATTGCCAAACAACTGTCGTATCAAAGTCCCTGAATTCCTCGCCATTTTTGTCTCACTCGATCCCCTTTTTCTTCTTCCTTTCTGTTTTCTGGTTCTCCGTCACTCTCTGTGTGCAACTCATTTACAAGAAACCAAACAACACCTGGCTTTCGGTAAATTACAAAAGTGCCATTACAATTGTTAAAACAAGACCAAACCAAAAATCCATAAAGAAACACAACAAAACTTAAAACAAGCCCAACCCACATTTTATAAATAAACTAGCTACACGTGGGGGGTTTTTGTTTTAAATTTATTTATTTATTTTAGAATTAGGAAAATATAAAATTGGTAATTATGTTCAATAAAAATAAGACCTATTATCTGAGTTTTTAATAGAAAAAAATAAATTGATTATATTATTTTCATTTAATTAATAATTTTAATTTTTAATATTTGTACTAACTACGGGTAATTTCTAGTATTTTGAATGTTTCACTATTCTCTATATTTTTCTTTATACATATAGAAAAATATATAAAATAAAATAAAATAAGAGAGGTAATTTTCTTACCCATCTTTTCTCCACTCACACTTCCTTTTGTTTTTAATACTTTTTAATCTACCCATACCCTACATTAAAATTTTGAAAACTGAAATAAAGAAAGTTAATAGGAAAAAAAAATGGAAAATGGAAAATGGATAGAAATGTGAGTATTTGTACGCCAAATTCTTAGTTTATTTTTTATTTTTTATACTAAGTATGTGGGCTCATTTGGTACACCGTATTAGATTCTGGATAGGTGTAAATAGTCCATGTCAAGATAATGCCCTTTTTAGTTATTATACACGGCTCACAACACTTTCACAAAAAATTTATCAAACACTCATAAACTGATTATTGTACGAACAACACTTTTAAAAAAGTTTACCAAACGCCAAATTGCTTTGTCTCACAACTAATTTCTCTCACAGCAAATCTGACAGCGATTATTTTCACAGCGATTGTTTGTACAGAAAAGATTAGATAAAAAGGTTGCATATGTTGTTTAGGCCCTTTGACAACACCACACGGCGCCTTCCACTTCTACTCCCACGAGTCGACG